AACTGCTATGACCAACAGAAAATACTGGAAGGGTTTGGTGGGCATTAACCTTGGGTTTTGGAGTTGTAGTTCACCTACATCCAGAAAGCATTGTGGACTCAAATAATAATGGATCTGGAACAAACTTGGCAAGAATAATCAATATGCCCCAATGTTAACACTGGTGGAGTTTTGGAAAATAGACCTTGACATTTGGGAGTTGTAGTGATTGGATTTATAGTTCACCTAAAATCAGAGCATTCTGAACTCCACCAATAATAGAAATGAACCAAACTTGGCACACAGAACTCCCATGACCAACGGAAAATATTGGAAGGGTTTTTTTTGCTCCTGCAGTCACTCCAGGAGACTATGTTGTTGTTGTTGTTGTTATTATTATTATTATTATTATTATCTTTATTTGTACCCCGCTAGCATCTCCCGAAGGACTCGATGCGGCTTACAAAGGCCAAGGCCTCAAAACACAACATAACAATACAACACCTAAAGCAAATTAAAAACAATTAAGGCAATATTAAGCAACAAGCAATTAACAATACATTAAGACACTATAAAGCTGGGCCAGGCCAGAGTAATGGGTACAGGATTAAAAGTGCTGATGTGACAGGTGATATGTAAGGATTATAGGATAAGTGCAGTGTGCAGCAATCTTAGTTCTAATAAAGTGCTTCTGGGACTTGTTATTGGAGATTCCTATTCTGGAAAGGCACATCGGAACAGCCAGGTCTTCAAATTCTTTCTAAAGACTGCCAATGTAGGGGCCTGTCTAAGATCTTTTGGGAGGGTGTTCCAGAGTCGGGGGGCCACCACGGAAAAGGCCCTGTCTCGCGTCCCCACCAAACGCGCCTGCAACGCAGGCGGAATCACGAGCAGGGCCTCTCCGGATGAACGAAGTGAGCGCGTGGGTTCATAAACGGCGATATGGTCACGCAGGTAGGATGGTCCCATTATTATTATTATTATTGCAAAATTCAGACAGTTGGAACAAAACCCCAAAGGCCATCAAGTCCAGCCCCCTTCTTTCTGCCAGACAGGGAGATAGAATTACTACAGGAGCAACAACAATAATGATGATGATGATAATAACAGTAAGTAAAGTTTATGACAGGCTCTCCCATCCTTTCTGCTCCAAATAATAATAATAATAATTATTATTATTATTATTATTATACACTAACCCTTAAGCTAATTATTATTATTATTATTATTATTATTATCATTATAGACATTTGGGAAGTGTCTGACATGTGATCCAATACAACAGCCAGCATAGTAATCTTGTTTGCTAATATGGTTGTGTTTCAAATAATAATAAGTAAAGCTTATGGCAGGTTCTCCCATCCTTTCTGCCCCATATAAGAATACTAATACTAATAACAACAACAACAACAGTAAGTCAAGCTTATAGCAGGTTCTCCCATCCTTTCTGCCCCATATAATAATAATAATAATAACAACAACAACAACAACAACAACAGTAAGTCAAGCTTATGGCAGGTTCCCCCATCATTTCTGCCACATATAACAACAAGTCAAGCTTTTGGCAGGTTCCCTCATCCTTTCTGCCCCATATAATACTACTACTACTACTAATAATAATAATAGTAGTAGTCTCCCGGGTTCACTGGATGGGTTTGGTGGGCATTGACCATGAGTTTTAGAGTTGCAGTTCACTTATATCCAGAGAGAACTGTGGACTCAAACAAGAGGGATCGGGACCAAATTTGGTGATAGTATGATAGCTGGGTCCGGAAGTGCCGAGCATTACGGAGATGCCACAAAGGTGGCTGTGAATAAGGGAAGAGAGGGGGTGGAGTGAGAGCGGGAAGAGCGAAGGAAGGCTAGAAAGGAGGGGACGCTTAGGGTTAGGGTTATGGTTAGAGTAAAGGGTTATGGTTAGGGTACGGTTGAGTTAGGGTAAGGGAAGGTTTAGGGTTTGGGTTAGCGTAAGGGTTAGGTAAGGTTAAGGGTTTGGGTTAGGGTAAGGGGTCCTGCTTAGGGTACAGTTAGGTTAAGGGTTAGGGTTTCACCATTCAAGAACTCTTACATTCCTTCTATAGTATCTGTCTTCGCCTGGCTTACATTAGCTAAGTCTCTCTTGCACAAACAGTGCTCCCGAAGGAGTGATGCAGCATCTCTGTAACGCTCGGAGCTTCCGAACCCAGCTATCATACTATTACCCCAAATTTGATATAAATATCTGATAACTCAAAATTTGAGAACTGGTGGGGTCAGGAAGCTCTTGGAGGCAGAGGGGAAGAGGGCCGTGCTACTGTTGCTCTCTCTCCTATGCGTGAAGAGGGCGAGCAAGGAAGAGGAGGTCTGAATGGAGGGACAGGACGGCCAGGTGGAGGGGCAGAGAGGACGAGGAAGAGGAGGAGGAAGAAGAGGATGAACTGGATTAATCGCTGTTTTGTGTGGCTATTTTGACCTGAGGTTCTAGATAAGCCAGTCTGCCATTCCGGGGGGAGGGGCCAAAGAAGGTGGAGACCCCTCAGAAATGGCCAAACGACCCCCAAGGGGGTCGCAACCCCCAGGTTAAGAAACGCTGGCTTAGAGGCTGGGCAATCACAGCGGAGGAGGGCTTTTGGTGGGAAGATTCGCCATCTGTTTCCAAAAAGGAAGAGGACAGGCAGAGAGATCTTCAGTCTTCTCTGCCAAAGGGGTTCCTAAGACCATCAGAAATATGTTTTCTGATGGTCTTTG